CAGGGAGGGGCTTCTCTGGGGCTGTCCCTCCCGCCACCAGCTCTGTTTATCTTGTCCCGGCCAGTTTCTTGGCATGGTCGAGCTTGCTGGAGCGAGATTTCCGGCTACCCTGAGTCGGAGCCCTCCACTCACCCCCATTCCCAGGCTGGGCCCTCAGACTTGGGGCCTTGACATTTGTTAGTAGCCATAAGAGAGTCAGTCTGTGTGGCCCCAGGAAGTAGCCTCTCAGTTTTAGTTCTCTTCAATCAGATTCAGATCCAGATCCCCAAAATCCTGCTGGCATAGTGTCCGCTTGCTCAGTGCCTGCCGCCCCCACCGTACAGCCCCCTCCTCTTCCTCTTCACTTTCACTCAGCACCTGGGAGGAACCCCCAATGGGGCTGCAGGAAGCAGACAGAGGTGGGGGACTACAGGCCATAAACCATGGTGGGGAGATGCTGTTGCCTTCCCGGGCTGTTTCTTGGAGACAGAGAGCTCCTGAGTATGGTTTCTGTCAACAACAACAAACAAAGTTTGAATGACAAAGAAAGACACTAATTTCCAAGAGCACCCCAAAATGTATTTCAAAACTTCCCTTTCAGTTATGCCTGAGGCTCCATAAAATTTGGAAAACTTCACTGGTGGCTCATGCCTGTAATGCTACCTACTCAGGAGGATGAGAGCTGAGGATCAGTGTGAAGCTAGTTCAGGCAGTAAAGTCCACGAGACTCTTATCTCCAAAAAATTGCCCCCCAAAATGGAGCTGTGGTTCAAGTGACAGAGCACTAGCCTTGAGCAAAGGAAGCTCAGGGCAGCACCCAGATCTAGTGTTCAAGCCCCAGGCTCAGGGGGAAAAACAACAACAACAACTGGAAAATTCATTTGAGGAAGAAGCCCACTTTCCATCAGATTCAAGGACAGAAACTCGGGAGGCTGGAGGTGTGGCTCAGTGGTAGAGTATCTATCTAGCAAACATGAAACCCTGAGTACCCATGGATGGATGGGAAAATGGGAGAAAAGGAAGGAGGGAGGGAGATAAGCAGAGGAGGAAAGAAAAAGATGGGGGGAGGGGAGGAAGCTTGGGCTGAGTATGGTGGCACATGCCTATAATCCCAGCTTGGATCAAGACCCTGTCTCAAAACCAAAATCAAGCAAACTTTACTTATAAGCTCCATGTAGGCAGGAACAATATCTGCTTGCTTGGCTACTCTGTCCTGCCAAATACCTAAGCAGACTCAAGTACATGGTGAGTGAGCTTTTCAGTAAATGCTTGCTGCTTGGCTGGATGACCATCATAAAAAAGGTAAATTCTTGGAGGCTTGTGACCCCAGTAGTCTAAACAATTGCACTTATACTAGGGGGCCAGAGAACATTTGTTAAGTTTATAAACATCTCTGCCCATCTTAAATACTCAGAAGCCCACTTGAAGCAGTGAATGACAAGTAGCAAAACCCTAAAATCAGGGCAGCAATGACTCATGCTTGTAATCCTAGCACTGAGAAGGCTGAAATCGGAGGATCACAGCTCAAAGCCAGGCCAGGCAGAAAAATCTGTGAGACTTTTATTTCCAATTAATCTGCAAAAAGCCAGAAGTGGAGGTGTGGCTCAAGTAATACAGCACCAGCCTTGAGCAGAAAAAGCTAAGGGATAGTATCCAGACCCTAAGTTGAAGCTTCATTACTAGCACACAAAAAAAAACAAAACAAGAAAAATGCCAGGTTAGTGCAGCTCAAGTAGTAGAGCACCAGACAGGATAAAGTCAAGGAAAGCACAAGGTCTTAAGGTCAAGTCCCAAAATGGCAAAATAAAAAGTAAACCAAGGCTGGGAATATGGCTTAGTGGTAGAGTGCTTGCCAAGCATGCATGAAGCCCTGGGTTCGATTCTCCAGTTCCCCATAAACAGAAAAAGCCAGAAGTGGCTCTGTGGCTCAAGCAGCTCAGGGACTGTGCTCAAGTCCTGAGTTCAAGCCCAGGACTGGTAAAAACAAAACAAAGACACACACACAAAAAGTAAATCAACCCTGAACACAACAACAGGGTGTTGGTGAGAGGCCTTCTCTGGCTTATGTACTCTTGCTTAGGGGAAAAAGTGCCCCTGGCAAGACAATTTGTAATCCTTGCTGGA